CCGCCCTCCTTTTACACCCCTTCACTTCCATCTCTCTCTCTCTCACACACACACACACACACCCACACACGGACGCACGCACAACATACCCGTGACTACACGGGTATAATTTTGAGAAATAAACTCATAATCTAGGTTTTTGACGAAGAAAATTATATGGCAGACACTTGCCACCGTCCATCCAAACGGTGGCAAATGTGTTCTCATAACCTTGTGATTCGACTTAATTAAAAGTTATATTGTAAACTGCACTCCTTTTATTTTCTCCATGTAGTTTGTGCATTTAACACAATTTTTGGTAATACTGGCTAGACCCGGGTTTTGTCGTTGCACTTTTACTGGCTCTGCATTGACGCAATTTATAATTACCACCCCATCTTTAAATCATAGCTGAGTGTGCTGGTTCAAGATGATTCTTCCCTTTACTCTTGGTGACAACCGACCTAATATATGTAACTGAAAAAAGTACTATTTGTGTTTAAGATCGATGATTTGGAATTGGACACCGGCGAACTCACTTTGCATCCGAAGGAATATTTTTCTTTACCCCGTGGTTATTTTTAGTAAAATATTGGGAGTTATTTCATGCGCTGGCAAGTTAAGCAAAATGAATACATTCACAACACTTTAATGTCGTATGTTTCCTAAAGGCCTTGAGAACTCCTGTGAAGAAATCCCACATTTTATGACCGTCTTATAATCTCTTACGTGCGCATGAGACAAGCGGCACCAGAATGAGTGAGACAATCGAGTCCAAGTAAGCTCTCGACTAAATACTGCAAGCTTCGAAGATGGCTCAGGTCTGGCAGTGAAAAATGTTTACAATCAGAGTGATTACCTTCAGTTTTCGAACTGGGTTTTGACTTGAAGTAGCTCATATTTGGGATGTTTTGTGGCTAGAATAATATTCTGTGTCGTCTTAATATTACAAAGTATTTCATCGCCCCAAAAGTTTGTTTGTTTGTTCCTTCCTCCTCAGCCCCCCCCCCCCCCTGATATCCTCTGCGAAGTGGACGCTTAAAGTAAAATGCATGACATTAATAGAATTTCAGAGTAGTAGCTTCTAGAAACCATGGTAACAAATAACCATGGTCCAGAGAAGTCTGATGATAGACTTTTAGATATAATGCCATAGTACTTTTATTTAAAAGAAATAAAAAAAAAAAGAAATAGAAAAACTCGCACGCCCATAGGTTTGGAAGGTGTAACGGGGATTTTGTCAAAAATATGGAGTCAACTTTATCTCACAAACGCCGGGAGCTGGCTTTAAATCCGTGAAGATGGTCTGATTCCAGCTTGCATGACGCACACTGCAGTCTTACCTGCAAGCAGTCAGCAAATTCTTGAGTCGTTACGTGGTTTGTTAAAGCGTGTTTTATGCCTGTGGATTTGCACTTTGCAAAGCACTGGGATGGAGTTTGTGAACACTGAACATGCATAGAGTGAACGAAGCCATTTTGGTATAAGTGACCAACTGATTTTTTTGTTACCATTTTATTATTTTATTTTTTTTATTAATGACTTATTAAGACAAAACGTAAAAACAGTTAGTTTGGATATTCACTCATTTATCTTAATCATACGGACAAAACGTGTGATAAGGCAATACAAACGCAAATTTGTGCAGGCAGGTTATCCTTTGGAGTCATGTGCGTAAATGCAGTGCAGTTGTTGGGAGAGCCGGTGGCTGCAGGTAAGCAGCATGCATGGAGATGGATGCTCTCCCCTCCCCCACAACCTCTGTATCAGACTCAGAACTCCTTCCCTGCTCGACAAGACTCGTCTGGAGGGACATGATGTCTGCTTGTCATTTATAGCCTCACATCATGGCTGGACACGGCTGCTGTTCCGATTTAGAGCTCTGAAAATGTTCGAAACCATTGCGATGCGATGCTAAAAAAGAAGTATTAGATTTTTTTAAACTGGATTTTTAAAATTTATTTATGTTTTATCTATACAATAGTTCGAATGTGATATACAAAGATCAAATAGATGTATAAATAGTTCTAAAAAATACAGAAAATAAGAAATCATTTTTATTGTAATTTAAAGTAACTATCTGTTCTCTTGTAGAGTCTGTCTGGAACTGAAATGTGCATGAAAGGTGAAAGAAAGTATTCCGTTTTGTTTACTTCAGTGGCTGACGCGGAGCCTCACGTTTCAATCAGCACCTCTGGTATTTAATTTGAGCTTGGAGTAAATTGAACGGGATTTGGAGAGAATCAGACGCAGCCATTTTGGTTCTTTTCTTTTTATTTTTTAACTATAATTGCATTTGAACGAATAAAACAATAACAAACTCAATTAAAAAAAAAAACTCACCGATCAACTCCATTTAGATATATTATTATAACTGGGAAATATTAATATTGAGAAAATAATAGGTCAAAATTTGCAGAGAAAGTGCCAGCGCACTATATCAGCTGTCTGATAAAGTTTCTTTTTTTATTTTTTATTTCTGCATGTCACAATAAGTGGATAGCATAAAATATCTCTGCACTGTGCAATATGAGAATGTGCTAATCCTACAAGAAGCCACGCGTCTATCTGCAGCATGTGCACTGTTTATATACATTATAGATATATTAAAAGTAAACTATTCCAGTTGGATAGGTCTCGGAACTCATTATCTTGCTGGCATGTCTGGCGTGTGCTCACTCAGTAATAATGGCACGTTACTGTTGGTAAAAATAAGAAACATAGTTTGAGCATTTATTATTTGTTTTATCGTCTATGTCATTTGGAGCATATTTTAGTGCACAAACGAAGTTAAAAACAAACAATATATTCAGTTTAAGACCCCCTCACTTCCCATATAGGTATATTTCATTAAACCAAGAGAATGTTAAGTCTATATTTGATATAGACAATAAAACAACCACAGCATCCGTCCATATGTACGTTGCTGTGGTTTTAGGAGGATGTTTATTTTACTCAGATCAAAGTATCTGATTGTGTTTCTCTTCCTTTGGTACATTCGGACGTCAACTTGCGTGCAATATGGGCTCACTCAACTCAAGTTTGAATGTTTTCTGTTTTCGTTTTGCTTTCAATTGAACTCATCCTGGCTCCTCAAATAAGACTGCGCCACTGTCGATCGTCTTCTCATAAGACTTATTTTCTTGATATTTTTTTGATGACTCATGCACAGCTCTTCAACCTCCGCTCTCACGCCAAAATATTTTTTTTAAAGCGAGGCTCTCCAAATAACGGCTAGTTTGCATGTATACTCTAGTGTGAAGTTCATTCTTGTCTGTCTAGACTCTCCTTACGACCCTGTTTGTCTGCGTTTTTTTACCTTGACCTTGGACTTCCGTGCAGCTGCCATTTGGATGAGCCCTCCGCCGCAGTTGTAATTTCCCTGAGACAAAAGAAGCAACAGCCTCTGACTGAGGAGCGACTGGGGAGGCAGCGAGGGTCCAGCTTTCTCTGAGATGTGTTTACAAACAGGAGTCGATGGGCATTTTGTGCCTGTAAGTCCAAGAAGTGCAGTTGGACTGCGCGTCCTTTTGCAGTAGCAGCTCGAAGCCTGCTTTATGTGTGAGTCATAGGTTAGGCATTGTGATACACTGTGGGCCTGTCCCAGCTATAACATTTGTTACTTGATTCAGTAAGCATTTCTTTTTTTTAAAAGAGGAAAAAAACTCACAAGGCAATGAATAGGGGAATTGGTTGAAAAGGTAAAAGTGTAGCGCTCAGAGGAACTTTTGATGCTGCTCGGAGATGTCAGTGGCATGCGTAAAAAGTAACTCGTTGGGTGAAATGGGACAATTTTATTTATTTATTTATTTTTAGCTTGAGTTCCAACTAAGTATCGTTTGTGGTTTGTGTGTAGTTCAACTGAAAGAGGCAATTGTCCGTCCTGTCGCCAGAAAGAGTCGATGGCGCAGTCTACAACCAATACTAATAACAGCCCACTGTGCCAAAAAACATCACGAGTTTGTTGAACGTTGCAATTGTCTTATCTCTGCAAGTGATAATTATGAAGCTGTGAAAGAATTTTCGCAGATATCAGACATAGTTTCTCTTCAAAGAATAGAGGCGCCCCTTCATTATGAACGAGTCAAATGACTTCTGACTAAATGATTTTTTTGATGAGTCCAAATTTGAAACAATGGTGTCTTACCTGCATAGCTTTCGTCCTCTCCTTCTGCTGTTACTGCTGATGAGGTGCAACTGACACTCACGCAACACCTTCAAGTTTGTATATTTTTTAATGGGGGGAAGCTATACCTCTGAATCACACACACATGGATACACACATAAACACGAAGACGCACACACTGTAGATTCCATGTTTTAACTGATTTTTTTATTATTATTATTTTATTTTTTGATGTCCTCGTTTGATTTGTTTCTTAATTGTACGACTTTTACTAATTTTCAGTAATTGTCACAATAGTTCTTTATGGAATATTAACACACATATTTGGATACAAAATGCATTCTTTGCATGTCAGTGTGGAACAGAATCATGAGACTCCTGCAAAGAAGGGGGTTGTGTTTTGCATTGATAATTCCCAATTAATTAGACATTTATTCAAACTTAATATTAACCAAAGTAGATTAATGAATTAAAATGCTTGCAAGTAACCACACGAACATAATGCTTTGCGTAAAGCACCGAACCACATTAACTATTGCGCATTGCGCTGCTACTCCAGCCCACGTAAAAATAAATAAATACATAAACAGTAATAATCACATTCATTATTTTATTTATTGAAATAAACTTGCATCCTCTTTTGCACGTGTAAACTGCTTCATGTATCAACACGATGGCTTCCACTCTGTCAGTTCACAGAGTCGGCTAAACGTCTGATTGTTTTCCTGTGGCCCAGCTCTTGAGCATTTCCAGAACTTCCCTTTAAGGGTGTGGGTCTAGCTGACTTAAACCAATGGTGTGACTCGGCTTTCTGTGGGGGAAAAACGGTGACATGCGAGGCAGTGGGTCTTTAAAGGAGCTGCTCTGCCCCTGCTCTCAAACCCAATCTCGCAGGACTTGTTAGCGTATCACGTGCCAGACTCTTAATGAAGTGGACACACCGTTGGGCCCGGTGTGCGCATGCGCTCGGTGTAAAATGTAGTTGGAAATGAGGTGTCCGTCTTGGAGTAGTCGACTTTTAAAAAGCATCGGCAGCCCGTGATATGACGACTTCGCTGGTTCTGCATCCACGCTGGGCGGACACCTTGATGTACGTTTATGAAAAAAGCCCGAATGAAAGCAGCCAGAATAAAAGCCAAACAATGGAGGGACTGAGCGGTAATTGCCCTGCGACCCACTGCAGGGACCTGATGTCGCACCCAGCGCTGGGACGACATTCTGGCTCCATAGCGACCCACCAGGGCTCCGTCTACTCGGATATTTCCTCTCCGGAGAGCGGTCGGCAGTGCCCCGCTCCCCAAACGTCTTCGAGCGCGTCTCTGAGCTACGGCTACCCCTTTGGAAATCCATATTACGGCTGTAGATTATCCCACTCGCACAACGTGAACTTGCAGCAGAAGCCCTGCTCGTACCACCCCGCGGAGAAATACGCCGAGCCCAGCACGGCTCTCCCCACGGAAGAACTGTCTACCAGGCCGAAGGAGTTTGCTTTCTACCCGAGTTTCGCCAGCTCGTACCAGGCCGTCCCAGGATATCTGGACGTGTCGGTGGTGCCCGGAATCAGCGCCCATCCTGAGCCGCGACACGACGCCCTAATCCCCATGGAGGGCTACCAGCACTGGGCTCTCTCCAATGGCTGGGATGGACAGGTGTACTGCTCAAAAGAGCAAACGCAGTCGACCCATCTCTGGAAATCACCTTTCCCAGGTATGGATACAATACAGTTATTATATTTCCGGAAATAGAAACTTTTGAAACTACTTTGATTAACTGAGCTTACTGTACTGTTTGACAACAGGGATCAATTGGAAAGTATATGTGATTGAATTTACATGTTTTTTTTTTTTATAAAGTGCCTTGAGGAGACATCTGTTGTGAATTGGGCGCTGTGTAAATAAACTGAATTGAGTTATTACTATTACTATTATTATTATTATTATTATTGTTGTTATTATTATTATTTTCACAATTATGCTAGTACAACATTTCACACGTGTCATCATGTTCAGAGCATTACTTAAATCCAAGCAGACAAATGTCCTCTTCTAACATCTAAGATTTAAGTTCACATTGATATTACTTGGTACCAGAATGTCTCTTCTAAGCTAAATTCTAAATTGCATTTTAGACCATAAAGAACCTTTACATAATCCCACTGTATAATTGTGTGCAAAATTATAAACTTTTTAAAAGACTCTCGTAGGTGTCTGTATTTTTTGTTATTATTATTAAATTGAATCCTAAATATTCAGCTTAAAATAATAATAAGAATAAAAAAAAAACAATAAAAAAACAAACAAAAAAAAAGAAAACAAAGAAACAAAGGTGGAATATACTCAGTGGCACATGCATAACGGTATGAGAATAAATGAACTTTTTCAGCTGCCTGATCCTCTGACAATATTCTGAGCGTTGTGCCTGGCACGGTCACATGACGAAAGGGGCCAGGTTGCTGTCACGTAGAATATAAAGGTACATCACTGCATACCTTTGCCCCATGTAGTAGAACACAGTGACTGAGACACAGCCTGCTTGATTTGGACTGTGGCCGTAAATCTCTGAGCCTTGTGATGCGTCTTTTTGCATGCAGGCCAATCTGGACTCGTGTAGAGAACATCTGCACTGCCATCCAGACAGATAAACGCATCACAATCAGGAATCATTTTACATTATTATTATTTTATTATTATTATTATTATTATTAAGGTTCGCATGTTGTGATCATGCAGTGAAATAGTCACTCGCTGTAACACACATCTCATTTGGCGTTTATGATCTTTGTGAAATCTGCAGCTATTTTAATTGCACATTGATACCCCCTCAACCCCTCCCCATCCCACTAGCCTCCAGCACATCTACTCCCTGCAGCCCCCTACTCCCATTTTTTATGTTGCAAATATATTGGAGCTAGCCACGCAAGCACGCTGTCAAGTATGCGCGCACACGTGCTCAAACACACGGTGACGTCCTCCTACAGGAACACACAGCTGCAAGAAAATAGGAAAAACTGCAAAGAAACACTGAGCACCATTCAATATGTTTTGCACTTTAATCATCGTTTAAAATGTAAAGAATTTAGAAGAATGTTAAAACACAAAATATTAAGTTGTTTAGAAAAAACAATAACCCACCTCTCATTTGATTTTAAAATGAAAGGAATTGTAAAACTTTTGCTCGCAATTTAAGGAACCGTGCTCTTTTTTGTAACATTTTTAGCAGCTTAAAAACTTTTACAAAAAAAAAAAAAGAAATTATCAATTTACGTAACCATAACAAATGAGTCAGTTACTGAAAATAGAAGAGGAAAAAGAAAAAAAAAATATATATATATTTCCAATTATTACTTTTGGGTATTTAAACACAGTTCAGGTTTCTGTATCTGAAGTTTTCTTATGTGTAACATTTTGCATGTGAAGTTTGCTTTACTTGTTTTTAAGAGCTCCATTCTGTTCTAAGTTTTGTTGACAATTTTTAGTTTTCTGATGAGGCACTTCCTTGAGTGCTCCTCTCTGCAACAGATACACTGTTCGTTCTACCCCTTGTCCTAAGGACAGATTTATCCAAGAGGCCTTTAATAATAACTGTAACTGCGGTTTGTAGATCTAATCAGCAAATACACTGCTGTTTAAAGAAGCATTAATGATCACTCACCGCTGAAAAGTGTATAACAGAGCTTCTGCAGGTTGATGTTTTGTGTGATTTACTTAAACAAAGGACGCGGAATTGTGCTGTGATTTTTTTATTTGCATTTTGTGTCAGATGTTCTGAAATATCAGGTGCACCACACCTGAGAACAACTCCCACCTCTAATCTACGCAGATCGCACGCACGAGGCGCACTAACAGATACACACACACACCCACACACACATATCCCCCTCCCCCCTCTTCCCCCCCCCCCCCCCCCCCCCCCACACACACACTTGCACACGCCGTTTTCTAGATTTCATTCTCTTCTGCTAACTGGAGTTCTCCTGGTAGAGAGCTTTATGTATTTTGGACGACATCTAAAATGTCCCCTTCTTTCCCTTGCAGACGTCGTGCCCCTGCAGCCCGAGGTCAGCAGTTACCGTCGCGGGCGCAAAAAGCGCGTCCCTTACACCAAGATCCAGCTCAAGGAGCTGGAGAAGGAGTACGCGGCCAGCAAGTTCATCACCAAAGACAAGAGAAGACGCATCTCGGCCGCCACCAACCTCTCGGAGCGCCAGGTCACCATCTGGTTCCAGAACCGGCGGGTCAAGGAGAAAAATTCGTCAGCAAATCCAAGAACAATCACATCCACACCACTTGATACAGACAGGGCTGCACCTCGACTCGTCCGAAAACAACACGGCATCTGTTTACCTCTCGCATCGAAAGATCTTGACTAAAGAACATTAGATATATTTTTTTTTCTGTTGTTGTTTGGGCCGAGTGCGTTTTAAATCTCTAATTTAAGTTCCAACATCAGCCAACACCGCCGACCACGTCTACAGCCTCCCCTCCACTTCTCAGTTTAGAGATAATCCTCTAAAAACTGTGAAAATGTTGAAAGTTCACTTCGATTTTGTTTTATAGGAATGTACATATATAAATATATAATATTTAAAGCGCTATCTGTATTTCAAAGACAAGTATTGCGTGTTTTATTTTTTTCTTCGTCTCCTTCTTATTCTTCTTCTTCTAGCCTGCTTCTTTAAAAGGACTGACGACAACTCAAAGTGCTTGCAATGGGGGAGATCAAAATCAAAGGAAACTGTTGTCATCTTAGAGAGGATGAGCGCCACATGGACAGCATAAGTCGAACTTTCGACTTTAATCAGTTTCTACAACTGACATTGAAGACTTTCAGCAGAAAGAATAATTAGGGAAAATAAAGGAAGAAAAAAAAAATCAATTTCAAAAGCAATGTTCCCATATGTGGGATGTGTTCTGTAAAGCCTGGGCTAAAACATAGGCTGCTATGTTGTTAATCTGTATAGTGCAATGCCTCCATTATTTAATTCATATTATCTAGTACCGGAGTATCATAAACCTGTATGTTTTCCTTTATCAGTGAAGGACTCTGTCATGCAACTGGAATGATTGTAAACCATTAAAGTGAGTATTACATATAAATGCACAATCGTTTTATTTTGTTATGACCTTGTTCGGTGTAACGGTGGAGCTATGACCACACGTCGCGTATACGAAGCCTGTATCGTTTCTACTTTGGTGCAGTATGTGAACTGTTTTGTGGTGTTGAATTGCGTTCTGGTAACAGTGTTTCATAAATAAATGATGATTATGAAAATGCTCGCTCATGCTCGAGTCAATTAAGCATCTCAGCCGGAAAATTTCAATTTGTTTCGAGATGCGCATATGTTAATGGGCTGCCAAACTGCTGTACGTTTTGTTGTTGTTGTTGTTTCTTTATATTACAACTCCAGTACTACCAAATAGTTATTGGACATCTAGTAAAGACATTGCTGCACATAGGGCGATTCTAATTTAGAGGACCCGATTGCGTCATTCAAAATATTTAATATTTGCACGACCTTGGCCGTCAGTTTTGAGATTTTATCAGCTTGTCAAGTTAGATTTGGTTCAATGTAACTGCATCGAACCCAGTTCTGAGAGAAAAAAAAATCTATTAAGATAAATTTTAGGTTGTAACGTGAGATGAAATTAAGGGAAACAATAAAGCGAGTTATGTTCTCATCTTCACCACACAAAAGCGCATTTCCACCTTTCTAAAACAATCGTCTGTCATTTCCCCCCTATTTTAATGAAATAGATGGTCGTTTCTTTTGCAAAAATTACTTCTGAAAAAAAAGGCAATTATTTTAGGGAGGTAACGACATTCAGCTTTTTCCACTTTTCAAAAGTAAAGACCTATTCCGGCAAAAGAGCGTTTTACTCAAATGGCACAATTTGATTGGAGAATTCTACGTTTCCCCTGATAAGCAATCATCCTCTGAGTGTGTGTGTGTGTGTGTGTGTGTGTGTGTGTGTGTGTGTGTGTGTGTGTGTGTGTGTGTGTGTGTGTGTGTATATGTGCTGTGTGCGTTGCTAAATTTATGTGTCACATTAGTATTCAGATAAATGTGTATTTCACTCCGTATGTATTTCGCCGTCCTTTGCGGATTGCGGCCAATGCCTCTGAAACAGGTAAGTTGTGCGCAAGATCTCCAGTCCAGAAACATATATCTTCAGTCACTGTTCTCCTGGTTTCACATAAATTCGCTTTCATCCAAAACGTAAGAAATTGGCATATTTTCACAATTTCTATACCGTAATATGTGGACACGCTGTCGCGTTTTTGTGACCAATGTGTATGAGGCACACACAGTTCCCCCCCCTGCAAGAAGAAGGTTGAGTAGAGTAAAACAAAGTGTGCGAATTTTACTTTTAAACGGGTTATATTTATAGAGATTGGTTGATCAACTGATAATATAATACAGCACACAATCTATCGCTTGCTTGTTTTGTACATATACATGTACAGGCACAGAACTTTTTCTAATTTGCTGTAGGAAACGCATTTATTTATTTATTTATTTATTTATTTATTTATTTATTTATTTATCTGTTTGTTTTTATTTACTTACTTAGAACAGCTCAGTAAGGCTACCTGCACGAGACACATTTACTAAAACGACTGAAGGAAAATACGTTCAAATGAATATCCCACACAGCTGTCCAGGGAATCAGACACAAGCTGGAGCTAGTTTATTTTAGGTCTTCTTTAGACGTGTTCACGTCGAGTCTGTAATTTGGGTTTCCAATTGGAATGAACACTGCATGAGCTGAGTTGACGCATGTGCCAAACGGACTAGATCAGGCTTAGAACGGCTTATTCAATTCTGAGTTTCAATCTCTAAACCCTGGTACTTTTAAGTGTAAGTCTCCTGCAATGTGGATAACTAAAAGCTTTGCTGAATTTATAATTACTGGATGAGATGTGGTTTAATTCCACTCTTTGGCAGCTTTGTGTCGGTTTTTCCAGCTTATGCAGATCTTTCTGAAGCTTTTTTTTCGGTCTGGGTCCCTGAATTTGCAGCCAGTGGAAACTTCTGGCTCTTCTTATTTTACCCTTGACCATGACTATGTGGTCACTTTGACCTTGACATCACAGAAGATTGTGAATAATAAATAAGGGGGCTGGACGGCGGAGCTCGGTGGTTTGTTTGTGGGCAAACAAGGTGTTATTTCCCCCGTCTAGACAGCCGAGGCTTAATGGCATGCCATAAATTCATAAAAAGGGGAAGTGTAGCGATATCCTTTGACCTGGGTTTCTCTGACCATCTTTCGGAGCTTTACGCCGACATTTGGGCTCTTTTCAGTTTTTGGGGAAGTGCGCAAAAAGTATAGTTACATGCACCGTGTTCCTAAGCCTCTGCGAGTCAGCAATAGTTTCACGCAGTTAGAACTATGTGTCTCTCTTTCTCTCTGTGTGTGTAGGTGTGTGTGTGTGTGTGTGTGTGTGTGGTGTGTGTGTGTGTGTTATTGACCACGGCGGACAGGTAGGACTTTTTGACGACTCTCACCAACCGCAGCAATCTACAGCAATCCGAAGCAACGGGCCACACAATCAGCACAGCAAGAGGAAATAATAACACGACATCGCCCACAATATAGCCATTAAAGGTAGGGCGGCTTTCCCGGCATCTTGTCGATAGGCTTGCGTGGACTTTGTTTTCTGACTTTTGGACTTGATAAAGCTTTAAATTGGCACACGAACCTTGTTTCGTCGGACATTAATTCTTGTACGGATTGAATAAAATAAAACCAGAAGACAAAAGTTTTAAAAATATACATAAAAAATGTTTTAGGTTTTGATATTCTGGAGCATTATGACAGGAGTTGTTTTTTTTTTCTGAATTTTAATTTAATATTATAGTAAAACAGTAAACGCATGGTTTAGCAAGTCCAAAAACTCCAAAAATATGATGTTAAACAAACTTAAAATACTATTTTAATACTTTAGTCAGTTCGAAAGTATATGGTAACTAATTTATAGTTACTATATACAAAAGGAAATCAATATTTACATCTAAACATAATACAATTTTACACTCAACATATGTATGTATGAAAATCGCAAGCGTACTATTAGAGAGGAAATCTTAGACGTGAATTGCTTCATGAGAATTTTGTTCATGTTTTGCCCGCTGCGGCGTAATATGTTCCTACTTAAAAGTCAACGCCGTTTAAATAGTTCAAACAACAGAAACGTCCCAACATTTTTAGTCATAAAAGCTGTCTCCGTTTTTCTTAAAATCAAAATTCTAAAATCGTTTTTTTTTTTCTTCTTACATTTGAACTGATCAGACGCGGACTCTATGTTGAAAACACTGATGGAGGACCAAAAAACATAAAAAAATAAAAAGTTGCCATGTTTATGTCTGCGTGATGTTTCGTCATGGCTGCAGGCCGCCACCAGACACAGACATGAGAAAGGGGGCTGATAACCTCTGGTGGTGACCAGAGGAAAATATCAGGAAGTGCTTAAAGTGTTTCTCATTCATGCAGCACTCTGCTTACTCAGCTAATTTTGCCACAGTTTTGATTTAAATGCACTGTCGCAGTTTTTGCTTCCTTGCGTTAGACGGCATGTATATGAACGAGTCTATATTTTATTCAGTTTGATTTATTTATTCATTTATTTATTTATGTATTTATTCATTTGACGTTTTGATGAAAAACATATTTCAAATACTTGAAGTAGAACTTCTGGTTAAAGCGTGTCAGAAACAATGGTTTCAACATATGCCTTCGATGCCCAAACTGTTTTACAGTGTGATTCATGTTCAGATAAAACATCCGCAGTAGAAATACTCAGAGCAAATTTGCAGATTATAAGCTTTCTTTGCTTTTCTTTACTTGTTTTTAACTGTGTGCTTTCAAAAACAGCACAAAGTTGAACAAAATGCCCAGGTAAAAGAAGAAGAAATAAAAACATAATACAAAATAGTGAGGAAACATAAAATATAAATATTTATGAGGGTTTACAAAAATGACAAAGTGGAAAAATAAAACGGGCAAAACATTTTCAAATAAGCATAGGCCTACACACAACTATTCCTTCACCTGTATTTACATATATTTATATTTGAGTGTAGCATAACTTAATTCTACAGCTATTTAATTATTGCGTAGTTTCATCTGTAACGACGCAATAATTGAGAAATTGTTTATTATCGTAAAAACAGCTGCTTTGAATTTTCAGATCCATTCGTATGTTTTATAGCAATATTGCTATCTCTTTTTACAATGTTAAGTTGTCCTAAAAATCAGACACCCGTGTCTCCGTGAGATTTACATGTGTCAAAAGATAAAATAACATGAAAAGTTTCGAAAAGTTATGCAATTTTCAACTTAATTAAATCATTTCACGATCATAATGAGGAATCCTAAATCTAAAAGTGTTTACAAATATTATTACCGAGGAAACATTAAACACATTGACACACACACACACACACACACACACACACACACACACACACACACACACACACACACACACACACACACACACACACACACACACACACACACACATACGCACGCCCGCACATACACACAAATACATGGAGTCACGGGGAACAAACGAACAGCGTTTTAATTTCCCTAACTGTGAATTTGAAATTTAAAGAATTTATATATATATATATATATATATATATATATATATATATATATATATATATATATATATATATATATATATATATATATATATATATATATATATATATATATATATATATATATATATATATATATATATCGCAATGTTTTTATACCAAGATTTTTTTTCATTCTGTCAAGTTCAACTTTTTTCATTTTGTCCATAGCAATGAAAAACGGCTTGCTGTTGGTGATGTATTATG